CGGTAGTAAATGAGAATTATTACATTTATTAGAATTTACTTACACTCAACCACTTTTCCCGCGAAAACAGAAGAAAGGAAAGAAGAAGAGCAAGCAATGAAGAAAGACACGTGATATAGTTTCTTCTATAGAGAAAAGGAAGAAGAGAAGGAAAGAAAATATAAGGAAAGTATAGAAATGTAGAGTAAATTTGCATATATATATATATATATATATATATATATATATATGTGTGTGTGTGTGTGTGTGTACGTGTGTGTGCGTGTGCGCCCGCGCGCGTGCGTGTAGTACACAATAAGATCCAAATTCACCTCATATGAGGAATACGCTTATTTACCAACGAAAACTTCGTCAGTCTTATTCAACCCACGTATAGACTAAGTTCGTGTCGGAATGAGAAATTTACCTGTGAAACGTCGAGTACAGAATTTATCTATTTCAATATATATAAAATATAATATAAAATAAATAATACATTTAGAAATAAAAATGAGATTAATATATATATATATATATATATATATATATATATATATATATATATGAAGACTACGATCATAACCTCGTCAATTCAACGGTCTAACTTTTTAGCTTTCATCTGATCGTATAAACTTCGCATCCCAACACGTAATTTTTCAATCGGATCTCATAGCTCGTCTGTCATTTTTATTTGCCTCGTCAGATTGAGACTGTCATATGGGCGCTATGCACAACGCCGAACTAGTTTCGAAATATCTAGACTGTCAGCTTTATACAACCGCGTTCTAAGATTAATTGTTAAAATGGCTTTGAGCGAGTGGAGCTTCTAAGTCTCACTGAATACCCCCCCTTGTTTGGATCTTGTGGACTGGCGCTACAGAATCACAAACAACTGTACCATATCGCATGGGGACTTTCAACAGCAGCAAAAGTGAAAATGGATATGTGTAACTTGAAGAGAAAATAATGAAATAATAAAGATGCTGAAATTCCACTCGACTCCGAACAAAAAGCAAGGAAGGAAACCTGCGTCAATACTGGAAAGGGTATTAAGAGCGACTGGACTATTTTCAGAAAAAAGTTATTTAAGAGAAAAAAATATATAAATTTCAATCTATAGCAAGTCTACATAGTCGTTCAATGAATACTGAATTTTTCCTGTAGATCAAACAGCTAATATTACCACAAACATTTGGACATATTTATCCGGCATTCACGGTCTCTGTTGGAATCCTGGTCTCGGCACCAATTGTAATATCAGACTTTCATTAACAAATCAATTGATATTCGTCTTATTCTCGTATAAGAACTGTCGAAAGACTTCTCGAAATTGCATCGTTTTTTGTAACTTCTTAATTTATTCAGATGTTGTTTGGCAGGAATATGAATGGTTGAGCAAGTGATAAACTTTCTTCACTCAAAAAAGTTATCTATTTCATTGCGCAACTCTGCTCGGAAATGCAGGAATGTAATGACAAACTTTTACTCTAACTTACTAATGGGCGGGATTATTTATCTGCTTGCAGTGATCTTCATCTACATTTTAATGCTTAACAATGTTTAATTTTGATGTCGACAAATATCTCTGCTTACTTTCAACCATGTATAAAAAGGCATATTCTTTGTACCAGGTATCGCCAAACTTTTGCTAATTATATGGCAACTTAGGGGTTAAAATCGTTTAGGGTGCCAACATTCTGAGACTCGGATTCGAATCTCGCCATGGTCGATTTGTCAAAAAGAAGACTTCGTGATGTTATCAGACTGGAGGGGTCAATTCCAGCCTGCGACATCTTTGGAAAGTGCATGAAAAACTTACCACGGGTTGACAAAAGCCTTGTGATTGAAATTGGGTAGACATAACCCTTGGGAGCCGTAGATAGCTGTGCTAGCACGAAGTTACAAATCGTTGTGGCTGAGGGCTTGAGTCTTCTGGCCGTTTTCAAATTGTTGATTACGCGAGATAACACGTCCTTTCCCAGAAAATGTAACTAAGGTATGGTCAGCATAGTTGCAGTATAAACCATAGGGTTGGTTTATGTGGGTGTTGAATAAACACAAATATGCCTGTACAAGCGTCTGCAATAGGGATTGTTGTAGCCGCCCAAGTAGACGTGTATCCTCGAATACGAATGGCTAGCTATACAGACATATAGGATATATACTTTTAGTACAAAAATTTTCTCAGAGTTAACCTGTAGAAAAAGACAATATTTATAAATATAAATGACAATAGGAAAACTGTAATTGTTGCCGACTCGTTTCGTCCAATGTGGACTTTTTCAAGGCAAAAAAAAAAAAAAAAATAACGAAATGAATTTATTTAAAGAAAGTAACTAATAATAACAAAACAAGATGTCCTTAGCAACTGTAAGAATTTAGAGAACGCTATTTTCATACTGTTAACTGAAATTACACCATTTACTGTCACGGGTGGAGATATTGTTTTTATTGTTGTGTTGACGGATTCAACCATTTTCTTTTGATTTTTTGATACTGTTCTTTACGTGTATTTGGGAGAGGAGTAATTCTGTTAAGAAAGGTGAAATAGGGAAAAAGCCTGGGTGTAGTTTCTTCCAGTTGCCGTGGAAATTTCATTTTGTTATTAGTTACTTTTGTTCAATAAATTCATTTCGTTTTTGCCTTGAGAAAGTCCACATTGGATGAAACGCGTCGGCAACTATTACAATTTTCCTATTGTCTTTTACATTTATAAATACTTTAGTATATATTAAAATTGAAACAGTGAAATATCTTCTTTGCGCTGTAGTAGTTATTGGTTTGGACTTCGTGATGTCATTTGCGGCTGCGTGTCATTGGAAATTGTTTGGTGTGCCACCTGTGGCACACATGCTATAGGTTGCCGACCCGTGCTGCTAGTATTCTGAATTTCTGAATTACCATTTACAACATATCTCTTTGTGTCTGGATCACACATGCAATATTGAAAATACTTTTTTCTCATTTTCTAACTACGCTATTTTCTATCCAATGTGTAATGTCTCACTTTCCCCATAATGCTGAAATACCATTTCTTTCTCGGTGTTTGACAGTGAATACATTATTTTATATCAATTATCACAAAAAAACAAAACAATTCTCTTATCTTTCAAAGTCTCTCTTTCTTATTCAAACTTATCTTTCAACAGAATTTCTCTTTCGATATTTAGCAATTGTCTCCCTTCTCAAAGTAAAAATACACCTGATCTCTCGATTCCCAGCATATGCCTTTATCCCCCAGCGTTAAATAATTTTCTCTATATTTAACCCCGTGACCAGGATCCATATTATTCTTCTAATTTTCCGAAAGTCTTCTTTTCCACTTAAACCCTCATTATCGCCATTCATGTTTCATGTTACTTCACTTTTACAACGCATCGCATCCCACTTTCTTTTCCTCATATGGCATCTCTCATTTTTTACAACACTTAACGTCTCCTGTCCTTTTCAACTTTCAAATTATCACATTTTTCCCTTTTCAAAATTTCTGTTATCGCCGATCGAAATTATATTTCTTTTCAACGTCTTACATTTTTTACTTCTCAGTGTTTAAATTTTGTCCTTTACCATTTTTCAAAATTTTATTTTTTCGTTTAATCAATTCAACACAAACAAAGTCTACATTTTTTAAATCGCTATCACCCCATGCAAGGCACTATATCCACTAGAACGGAGCGTGTGGAGGATTTACGAACAGAAACATTAGTAATGTGGAGAAAGTCAAGAGCAGTCACGAGGGCAGTAGAGAGCGATTATCTTTGCATTTAAATGTTTGCAGATTGTCTGGAAATTATGTAACCGAGAGGGTGTTTCCCAAGCGAGAAGTGAATAATAAGAAATTGTTAGCATAGAAGTTCCAGCTACATCTAGCTAACTCAACTGTAAATTGATGTGATCTCGACGCCAGTCTAGTAAGGCGCTTCAATTCATACAATGTAGGTACCAAAGCGAAGAACTCATCCGAATAATTACCATTAAAATATTTATAGAAAAGGATATTCAGGGGAAACCTTACGGCGCTGGGCAAGCGACTGAAGCTGAGCCGCCGGATAAGAAACAGTAATATTGCTGATTCTTGTTTAGACCTTATCGGGCACCAGACCATATATGGCAGCAATATTAAAAGAGTGGAGGAATGCTAGATTCCGGAGAGAAAAATTGTCTTGTTCGACACAGTAAACCGACATTTTTGGCAGGTGATAGATTCGATGTAGTTTTTCAATCTCATGTCAGATGAGACCGTTAACCCGAGAAGCCGCAGTGTCTCACTTTCTTAAAGGATAGCATCAGCAATGTTAATGGAAGACAGAATGGGGGGCCCTAAGATGATTATGGGAGGGAAGTATAGTTTTTAGAAAAGCCATAGAGAGTCAACCTTACGGCGGTGAACAAGTGATTGAAGCCGAGACGCCAGATCAGACCCAATAATATTACTGGTATTTGTTTGGGCCTTATCAAGAGATCCGGCAAAATAACAGGGGCACCGAACCATATATGCCAGCAATATTTAAAGCATGGACAAATGGTAGTGTTATAGATATGCAAGACAGATTTCGGAGAGAAAAATTGTCTTGATTGGCACAGTGAACCAACTTTCTTGGCAGCTGATGTAGCGATAAATTCCATGTAGTCTTTCCACCTCATGTTAGCTGAGAACGATAGCCCGATAGCGCGCTATGGAAGGTAGCAAGGGTTTCTCTCAGATGATTAATGGAGAGAAGCTTAGATTTGGAGGCGTTAGAATTGGCAAGCCATTCCACCCCCACCCGCGCCCAACACCAGTTAACGACGGTTTTGAGGTTGTTTTTGAGGGAAAGAGCAAGAACAGGCTTTGAGAGGAACCGAAAATCTAATCCTAAACCGGAACCATGGATCAGAATTCTACACCTGTTCAAAAGACCGCGGAGGAGTGTAAACCGGGTAACAAGCAAACCTATCTAATCCTTTCTATTCAAGATTCCATATATATTTTCTTTTATATATCTGTAGCTTTATGATAGCAATTTTCTTTCTTTTCAGAAATGTACGACTCAATCGCTAATATCTTGTTTTCCATCTATTCTCTATTTTCTCTTTTTATTTTTTTTTCTCGCTTTGCTCTTTCGTTTTTTTTAATTTCATTCTATCTCTTTTTATTTATTCATTGTTTCTCGTTTCTCTTTTACCTTTTTCCTATTTTATCGCTTTTCTCTCTTTCGTCTAGTTTCTCTTTTTATGCGATTTATCATTTTTCTACCAAATTCTTTTTTTCTCTTTACTTTATAACACTTTTCTCACTTTACATCTTTTTAAATTTTCCTCTCCTTTCTATTTATGTCTCTTTATATCTTTTACTTATTTTAGCTTTCTTTCTTTCCTCTTTCTGTCACTGTTTCCTCTTTCCTCATATGTAATCTCTTTTCTCTCTTGCTTCTCTCTTGTCTTCATCAATCTTTTCTGTCTTATTTTATCTCTCTTCTCTCTCTAGTCTTCATATGTCTTTTTCTCTCTTTTCTCATTTTATCTCTTTGACTCTCTTTTGTCTTCAATATCCTTTCTCTGTTATTTTATCTCTTTTCTCTTTCTTGTTTTCTTATATATTTTTCTCTCTTATTTTATCTTTTCTCTCTTGTCTCTCTCTCTTGTCTTCATATCTCCTTTTCTCTCTTTTCTTATTTTATCTTTTTTCTCTGGCTTCTCTCTTGTCTTCATGTATTTTTTCTTTCTTTTCTCATTTTATCACTTTTCTCTCTTGCCTCTCTGTTGTCTTCATGCATCTTTTTTTCTCTTTTCTCATTTTATCTCTTTGACTCTCTTTTGTCTTCAATATCCTTTCTCTCTTTTCTCTCTCTTATTTTCATATAACTTTTTCTCTCTTGTTTTATCTTTTCTTTCTTGTCTCTCTCTCTTGTCTTCATATATCCTTTTCCCTCTTTTCTCATTTTATCTCTTTTCTCTTGCTTCTCTCTTGTTTTCATGCATCTTTTTCTTTCTTTTCTTTCTTGCCTGTCTCTTTTCTTGTTATATATTTTTCTATATCTGTCTATTTCTTTCAGATGAGGCATTATGATTAATTACATTATGTACATTATTCGGACTGTTATCTTCGTCTTCAATACCATATACAAAACGTTCCGGCCTTCTTCAGGTGATTGGATTGATATTGCGTTTTTCTATTATAGACGAGACCTAAAGAGTCGTAATTTCAATATCACGCCGCAGCAGTGAACCAAAAATTGTAAAGGGGAAATAACTGAGACAATCTACCCATGTGGACGAAATATAGTGTTCGGTTCGTTGTGAATATGGCAATGAAGATGAGGATAACAGTCGAAATAATGCAAGTAAACATAATACCTCATCTCAGAGATCCAATCATCAGAAAAAAGATCAGAGCGTACAACGGTCGAAACGTTGTGAATATCACAATGAAGATGAGGAAAACAGTCCGAATAATGTAAGTATATTTTTCTCATGTCTCTATATATATATTTCTTCTCTTTTTTCTTTTTGTGTTTTTTTTAACTGATTTCTCTTTAAATCACTTTTCTCTCTTTTTTCTCCTTACTCTCTTTTTCAAAATACTTCTCCTTTAATATTCAGTATCTGTCATTCTTCTCAATCGTCTATATAATTCTTTTCTCTCAATTCATGAAGAATTTCCCTCTTTGAGTCAAATCGTCTCTACGAAACGCTCAGCAATTCTCTTTGATCATTGTCATCAACGACATTTTCTTTTTCCCTAAGCTTACAATCATTTCATCTCAAACGTCAAGACAATTACCGAAACATCAGCAAAACCTTCTTGTTTGCTGTATTTTGTAACCAAATAGTTATTGTTCTTCATTTCTATAGAGTTATACTGATATACAGTTGTACTGTTGAGTGTGTGTATGCCTTATCGATATTGGAGGAGGGGGAATGTATGGTTCTTATTCAACGCTTTAACCGAGAAAATTCATTTGATCAAATATTAATGTATGTTTGCCAGAAATGCATATATATATATATATATATATATATATATATATATATATATATATATATATATATATATATATATATCCGTTTCATTAAATAATATAGACAAGTGTTGTCTATTTATTTTATGTAAAATTTTTCGTATCTTCTGATAAGTTTGGTAACATTATCATTAACCGAAAAAAGAAATTCACAATATTTATCCATTATTTTTTATTAAATCTAAGCTTTCGGCTTACTCAAGCCATTATCAAAGATGTAATTACAAACATATCAAACAATATACGGACACGACAGCGATGATAGTCTGTCATTGTTTTGTTTACATAGTGGATCACTAAGCAACGATGAACACGCGCATATAAGACGCTAGAAGCGAAAATCGCACCGCATCTCATGACGTCACACATGACTACACGAGAGTGAATTGTAGAATGAAATAAGGAAAGCCGTTGGTATAAACCAATGGCTTAAGTTACTAATTATAGTGGTATATATATATATCTATATGTATATATATATATATATATATATATATATATATATATATATATATATATATATATATATATATATATATGAAGACAAATATACAGAAAAAACAAACAAAAATCTTAATATGCAATTATGCTGTATTAATGTAAATATAAAGTCAACGTCGGACGTTTCGGTCTATTTTAGACCATCATCAGGACATATTCATTAAACATAATTAACATTAGAACATATAAAATTCAACATGAAAAGACGATGGACATAAGAGCACAACTAATCCAAACAGATAACTGAAATTTTTATATAAGATCAGCGGTCCGTTTAAATATGATTACGTCGTCGTCACGTGGGCGATGTTGTGAAAACGTATTCGAAGATGATTAATACAGCATAATTATATATTAAGATTTTTGTTTGTTTTTTCTGTATATTTTTCTTCATACTGTCGGATCTATATCCATATATTTGCTTATATATATATATATATATATATATTTTTATATTTTATATAAATTCAAATAATTATCAGACTTTGTCCATTTCAAAATGTGTGACGTCATTTGTTTACATTTGTATACGCATTGAGCATATATGAATGTACGTGAGAGAATCATGGAAGATTGTAGTTTAAATGCAGTAGAATCGACCATGGTAACCGAACGAACCTCTGTGTCCCAATCGTTAAGTCAGTCAGGCTGTATAACGGTTCCATATAGTATACTGGTTCTATTCCTGTTGGAGGACGAATATTTTCTATGAAAATTAAATGCTAATCGAAATATGTTTGTATCGAACGAGGAAGTGAATGACAAAAGTTTGTATCTGTTAATAATAACACATATAAAAAAAAAACATATTTCGATTCGTATTTAATATTTTCGTCTGGAATGCTACCTGGATTTTACTAAAAGCAAAACAATTTCCATGCCTGAGGATGACTGAATGTATAGTTGAAAGTACTTACATATTAAAAAAAGACCTTATACAGCTTATAATTATTAAACACAAGGATCATAGCATTGATCGAGTGATTAATGAAAGTTTAAAATTTTGTTTGCGAAAGGATTTCGGCATTTTCTATCATTAAATTTACTAATCTACTTTTTATATGAATGAATCGTTGTAATATAAATTGAACTCTACCACATATTTGATATAGCACCGAATAATATATTATTATATTATATATAATATTATATATATATATAATATTATATATTATAATATATAATACATACGTTATATATATATATATATATATATATATATATATATATATATATATATAATGGAAGCCTTATTAATAAAAACAAAAAAAAACAAACAATATTCAATGATATCAACTATGAACATGAACACAATATCTTAACCGTGTTTTGAAAATGATACATTATATAAATACATACATAAAACAATCGATTTCTTGTTAACAGGTAATATATTTCTAACTTGAACATGACTAAATGTATAGCCGAAAGCGATCGGAAAAAAAAACGACAATTAGGCAGTTTTTATATAATTTATCTACGGAAAAAAATTATATGATCACATGAAAAATTTTAAAAATACTTACTAAAAAAGCACCTTTCATATTCAATGAAACTTGCATGAAAGAAGGATTGCTGCCTAAATACACAATTTATACATACATATATATATATATATATATATATATATATATATATATATATATATATATATATTTAGGACTCTCCTGTCGTTGATCGACGCGAGCTTTTGACTTGCGCTTACTCGGGACACTTTTACGGCGTATGAATGTCAGGCCACACATTTCCTAGGTACCAACAGCCAGACAACCTGCACATATGATTTGATTATAGTGATGAAGGCTTCGTGTAGAACCAACCACACTTTTTGAGGAGCTGAATACAGAGACCTGGTGCACTGTGTGCAACAAGATTCCCAAACAACCTTTTGAATTCACAGTTGTCCTTGTAGACCAGTTGCCATCCAATGCTATAGAACCCAGTCTGCCCTGCTATTTATTTTAGGGGAGAGGAAGAGGCACGGTGGAGTAATGAAAAGTGGCTCGGATTGAAGAATCTGAGAGCCGAGTTCGAATTACAGTAGAATTCGTTACATTTACTTACGAAAAGGTATGAACATCTATCTATCTATCTATCTATCTATCTATCTATCTATCTATCTGTATATATATATATATATATATATATATATATATATATATATATATATATAGGGTGTATCAAAAATACTTTTACGAACTTTGAGGCGTCTTCCTCACAACAACACAAGATAATGTATGCACATAAAGATAATTGTAAAAGGCCAATATTGTACTTCAATACAGCAAATCATAACAAATGTTTAAAATATCCTCCGCCTTCTCCTGCACACGCATGCACCCCTCTGATGGAGGACATTTTCAAATACTCCCACACGGATAGAATAGTTTTACACGCTTCTGTGACACGTTTATGAAGCGTTTTTGCGTTATTAATGTCTGCTGCATAAACCAATTGTTTTAGGTAGACACACAAATAAAACATCCAAAGGATTGAAGTCGGCGGAATATACAGACCACGGAACCGGTTCTCCACTACCTCTCTGCTTTTCATGACAGCTAGTTCATCGCGAAAAATATGACTAAAATGTGGTGGTGCATCATTATGCATGAACCACGTGCGTCTTCGTATTAGCAGGGGTACATCCTCTAGCAGGTCTGGAAGTGTAACTGAAATAAAGTCCCTGTAGTCAGCTCCTGTAAAACGTGCTGGGGAGAAAAAAATGAACCTACCAGTTTTTCACTTACTGTTATGGTCCAGGTTAGGACCAAGGAAGAACAACACGAACACAAGAGTAGAAATAACTAAGGTATATTACACGAAATAATAATACAAGATGTGGAAGGTGTTAGTATGACTGTCAGTCTGGTTTGGAGTGAACTACTATCGGCTCGACTCGATTCGGTATCTAGCCATACTCCCACGAGGGTTGTATGTGGCACAAGGCCGAGTTTAACGTGGGTTTCCCGAGCCCGTAGGCTCTGCCAAAAAATGTCCGTAGAACCCGTATAAACGGGATCCAGTTGGTCAACCTCCCCGAACGAGACTCTGCCCTTCGGCGGAGCCTCGTCCGGGTTACTCTCTGCTCAAAGGCAGAGAGTTCGACCGTCAAGCCGAGAAACTCGGCTTGATTCGACCCTCTCTCTTGAGAGGCGTAGTATACATAGTGTTAGGAAGAGTTCATTCTGTAGTTATAGTTAAGGACCCATGGCACTTAAAATTCCAGCACACACGTTAATCATAAAATGATATTGGTTGTGTAAGTATATTATTTCATCACTTCCAAATGTTGCCTCACCCATAACCAAGACTGAAAAAACAAACAACAGATTGGCAGTTTGTGCAACAAACCATTGACAAAAATTATCCATTGGTGACTAATCAGTGAGAGAATAACCCTGCAGACCTTGCAAATAATACAGATAAAGGAGCTGATCTTGAAGTACCCTCCATGCGGTAAAATGAGATATATGACATGCTAGGGCCACTGTGCTGATAACTGGATCGTCTCCGACAGCCCGTAAAATGTGTTCTTCGTGGTCAGGTGTACGAGCGGATCTCAGTTTTCCTCGATCCATAGTTTGTGGTTCCACGGATATAAAGCAACGCGGCGATAAACAGCAGCAAGGGTTGGGTGACTTGGCTGCTGTCGGTCTGGAAACTCAATTTGATACAGCCGTGCAGCCTCACATCCATTACCACTCGCGCTGCCGTATGTAAAAATCATATCTGCCTGTTCACGACATGAATAACTTGCCACTGCTAAACAGAACACTTCACTCACTACTACACATATTAAACATTGAATAGAGACTAGCCACAAAGGAACACGAATGACAAATTTAACCTAGTCTAAAATGCAACACTGTGCCACCTACTTAAACTTTCTTTAAACTTAATAAATTGAAAACGAAGGATTTGATGACATATGTTTATATGGGCCTTTTTTCTTGGTTTGGTGTGAGAAACCCGCCCCCAAAATACTTTTGATATTACCCTGTATATCGTTTTTTTTTTCACGTGCGAAGAGACTACATTTATCATCCGCCAGCAGCTGTAGTCAAGGTATTTTCGGGAGATCACTAATAAGATTTTTAAGCTTCACGCGAATAGCAAAAATTGTATATTTCACGTCGAGTGAAACAAAGCGCGTGCACACGCACACAGAAACACAATCACACGCTATAATTCATATCTATCTTAGTGTGTACACACACACACAC